TTCTCCCGTGGATGTAGGCGATTTTGCCGAACCACGTTAAATATTGTGTCAATGTGCTTGGCTCTCCTATGAGCAAGTATCAGAACATCACCGGTTGGAAATTCTCAACAGGTATAACTAACTTAAAATTGCATAGCATCTCTCTATACTTTTCTCGTCCATCTTATGCTTCTCTGTTTATGTGAAAGTTTATTTCACTAGATGATTCAATGCTTGATGTTGATGTCTGTCTGCACCTTGTACACTTCTCTCAGAAACTTGTTAATAAGTTGGCAAACGTCCTCTTAGTCCAAGGAAAAATTGAATCCCCATCCCCACTTTGTCCATATACAATTTCATATCTAAAATCTTGTGTGAAATTTCTGTTTTCTACATTAATTTGTTAAAGAAATATTAAGTTTATGTAATTAAAGACATACTTAAAATGATGATAGCCCACTTCTACAAGCCTATGCATTAAAATCAGCAGCACACTGTAAATGATCTTCAATGGTTTACAGAAGTCTTTTTCTGGGCTTCAAGTCCTGCCATTCCCATTAGTTTCCCATAATTAATTCTCTCTATTCTTATGAACTTTCTTCGGTGGGATTTGATCTCGATTATTTGGAATGACGTCAAAAATACTTTCTGTGATTGTACTTATTCTGCTTGGCATTTGCAGTTGAGATTTTAATGACAACCAACCAAATCAAGTTAAATGCCATGCATGGAGAAGGACAGGAGCCTTTTTAGCATGATAAGGAATCCCCAAAAGGCCAAACCCAAATGAAATAAAACGTTTGTCCATGTTTTTAAAATACAGAAATTCACGTTAAAATTATCACAGATACCGACTCATTTTATACTTTTATCTATGTTTCTATCACTTTGTATTTATCAACCTAGAACACCGAGAGTTGTGGTGCACAGGTTAAAATTCAAACCATGCACCAGGTAAAGAAAATGGGCATGTCTTCACTCCTTCAATAACTCAATGATAAAGAGGAAGACAGAGTCTTTTCTTAAGAAAGAAGTCATCTTTTCAAGGTGGAAGATGTATCTTATTTCCACATGGCACAAAATACCTTTACTAGAAAATGGTATCTTATCTCTTGGACAAAGCATTAAAATGGAACACCAAAATATCAATTTGTTGAATCTCAAGAAAGAAGTCCATGGTTTTTCTAGGATCACAAAATAGGCAAGGAAGTGTGAATGACAACCTACCTAACATGATATATACCGAGAAAGTAATCAAGGTGGCCATTGTTTGTTTCTCATTAATGCAATTGAAGGACCCTTGCTCCATTTGAACATAATGTCCATGCTTCTGAAATCTTATCGTCTCAAAATATCCACTTCTTTCCTGTTTCCAGCCCACAGAAGCACTAACCACCATCCAGTAGCACCTGGTTTTTAACCTCCCCCCCCCCCTTCTCTCTCTCTGTCCTGCTATTGGCGCCCCTTGTTTTTTTTCAGCTCTGACAAAGCCAAATTGGCCTTTAGTATCAAGCAAGGGAAATAGCACTCTCAGCAAATGAAGCGCTTCTATCTTATGCTACTGTGTATTATCCATGATCAGTGTATTTAATTAGTTCCAACAGATATGGCATGCAATTGAATGAGCAAGCCCTGGCCAATGTGTTATCATGTCGATCCTCTTAGTTTGTAAAAGAAGAAGAACAAGGCTTAAGAGCACTTCAGCCAGCAGCATTAATTATATATTAATGCTATCTTCAGGATGGTTCCAGCACCCCGAGACAGGTTAAATCCAAGGAAGGATCTTAACCTTCGACAAAGCTCCAATGCATTATTATTCCATTTCTATAGTTGATTGACATCTTTCCCATAAAGAGGGCATCGAGAATTATCTAGTTGCATGATGTCCAGAACACCCTAATTGATTTAGATATCATTCAACAATATTCATTAAATGATGGGCATTTTTTTCCACATAGAATCCATGGAGATTTTTCTTGTTGCCTGCATTGCATCAATCGACCTATCAAATTACTGTGCTTGAAACGTTTATCCATCATCTTCAACAAAGAATCAACAGTGATTTGTTCAAGTTGTTTAGTGTTTGTTTCTTTTAAATAAGATTTTGAGTTCGAACTTCTATATGGAATACATTATCATGGATCGACTCAGCTCAACTAAATTAATTGAGTCTAGTGAATTTTCAAATTCCAGGATTTAGAACAAAAAAAATCATCTCCAGCAGGGATCTTTACTTAGTTTATTCAATTCGATCAGTAACACTAATGATTCTGTTGTGTCGCTCAGTCCGTGTTCCTTGCTGATGTAATCTGAGGCAGGGACGATCTCAGTCTCATTTTTCTCTTGCTGTACCTCTCCTTGCTCTCTCTTCCTCCAAGTGTGCGGAAGAGGGGATAGCTCATAATTTCTGGGACAACTCGAAATGTTATTATATGATTTCAGCCATTGGCCTAGGATAAGATAATTGACAAGTGACAATGAAAGCTCACAAGTTGTCATTCTAAATAAAATATATCATTTTTAATGAATAAATATAAAATTTGGAATTGTGGTGAAGAGTGATTTTTAAAATAGTTTTTTGTTTGCATTTTTATTTTTTTAATATTAATACATTGAAATTATAGTAAATACTAAAAAAATATTTATTTAATTATTTCTCAAGAAAAACAATATATATAAAAAGCAATTGAAATCAAAATTAAGTCCTTTTTAATGCTATCCCTAGGGTAGCTTTATCAACCGCGGGAAGAGAAAGTTGACAAGTGAACTTGCTGAAAATGGGAAGAGGGGCCTAAATTACTGTCATTTTCTGTGCATTATTTTCATCAATTTGCATGCATGAGAAGCTGTCATGCATAACAACTTTCCCAATCCATGCATGTATATATGTGCATCATAAATGCTCTATTGTGTACCCTCCTATAAATGCTTGTGTGTGGCTTCACACATTTGGCAGCTGCACACTACTTACCTTTGCTTTCCTTCTCATCAGCTAAATTAAGGCTTTCACACCCTAGCAAAATTCCGTTCTTCCAATGATGAAAAGGTGGTTTTCTGGCGTAACAAAAGCTTCTTTCAGGTGTAAAGAGGCCGCTTCTTCGTGGGTTTTTGCAGCAAAGCTAGAGGGTTTTGGAACTGGACATTTCATTAGATCAGTTCTGAAGAATTCCGTCCTTGCTGCATCTACTTGTATTTTTGCACTAGGTATGCCTCTCCTCCTTGAACTATATATCTTCATTTTCTGGTCTGGTTAATGGAAAAGTAGTTCACATCCAGGGAAACTTTTTTAACTTCTTTTCTCTTCCTTTATAACACTGCATTTTCGCCCTTCTGGGAATCCTTCTGGCAGCATTTTTAGCTGAAACCTGTTAGAGATGGCTTCATGCCTTCATGTATATTAGTGTTACGACAAGAGTTTTATTTTCACCTTTAAAGATGTATGACTGTGTTCCATGCATGCTAGGGCCACAAAATCACCAGTCCATCCCATGCATGGATGGGCATTAATAAATGCACTTCTAGCTACTTGCTGACTCCACACTTCTCTCCAATGTACATGAAGCTAGCTAGGCTTCCACTTGCTACATAAAGAAACTTCCACTGACATTAGATAGTGACAGAAAGAATACAATTATATACACATAATCCACACTTTAAGTAAGGCCTATATAATCACATATTTTTGCTTAATCTGTCAAATAAATTATTTATTCTATGAAAATATCGGTATTCATTTGGATGCTAGCTCTTCCTTAACCTCTTTGCATGATTCTCAAATTTTAGCCTTGGTTTTGCAGGAGGGGCTCTAGTGGGATCAATCATAGGAGCCATGAAAGGTCAGACAACAGAAACTGGGTTTCTTCGTGGCTCTGGAGTAGGTGCTGTTGCAGGTGCCATCACTGCAGTTCAATTGCTAGAATCAATTACTAATGGTGAACCATTGTCCAAGGTAAATAATATTCATATCCACTATGTAAATACACCAGCATTTCAATGAGTTTCACAGGAAAAAAACAAAGGATGAAAATTACATACATCTGCTTTGAATATTGATATGGTATTTTTCACTGAATGCATGTTGAAAAGAACTGCAAAATTTAATAGGGAGGCCCGTTTCAATAAACTGTACACAGCATCATGATTGTCTCTTTCAAATTAAGAGGGAGGGCCATGCGCTTTAGAGTCCAAAGTAAAGGGGACTTTACTTTTTTACAGGTTGCTCTCTTGCACAGCTTGTTGAATGGGAAGGTATTCATGGAATGGGTAGGTCCTGCAGTGCTAAAAGCCTATCAATGGCAAGTAAGTAGACCTGTTCAATTTGCATACCAATAGTTCTTAGAATAGATTATTGAATGTACTACGTGGGACTTAATCAGGCTTGTAAATCTCTCAGATTACTGCAATGGAAACAACTTACAGAGAAATATCAGACATTTATGACACAAGTGAAGTTAGAGGCTTGCCCGAGGATTGTATCAAAAAACTTCCTGAATGCACATTCAAATCTGACGGTAACATTGTTGAGCAATGCTGCCCCGCCTTGAGTTGTGCTATTTGCTTGCAGGTACTGAACTAATTGTCTTTGAATGATTATTTTAGCTCTGTGAGGAAATAACTGTAATCTTGCTTTTAACAGATTTTTAACAATTTTTTTTGTCAGGATTTCACGGATGGAGATTCAATGAGAAAACTTCCCCACTGTGGACACTACTTTCATCTGTCCTGCCTAGATAAATGGCTGGCTAGAAACGGGTCTTGCCCAAATTGTAGAAATTATGTATGTGATGACAATGATGTATAGTACTAGATCACTTGTTTCCACTCACAAATTAATCAAAAAAGGAAAAAAAAATAAGAAAAGAAAGGGGAGTTGGTTTTGGCCTTTCTGGGTTGCAAGACGTTGCTTGAACAATATGGAATGTGTTGGCATGATGTCCATTAATGGAAGTACAAGGCTCGACTGAAGGAAAATGAATACTCCTGTCCTGTTCTGTGTGGCATGATGTGCCATACTTGCAATACTCAATTTAAGAACCGACTCGTATAAGGATCTTAGATAACTAGATTAATTATTTTTACAGAAAACACATTTGGAGAATGAAAAAAAAAAACCCTAAGAAATAGAAAAAAATTAAATTAAATAAGTCTTAGTAAATCTTTTAAATTTGTAATATGTTAAATTCTAGACTCGAACTTAACTAAAAAGACTTGGCAGCTAATAAATTTAACATCAAATAATAAAATCAATTAATTTAATTAAAAAATAAAATTTTATTTAAAAAGATAAACCTACAAGATTCAAGAAAAACACTAGAGACAATATGTGTTATTTTCAAAATAACTAAAATTTCTTATAAAAAACAAAAAAAAATATTAATAGATGCAACTAAGAAAAAAAAGTTTAACAAAAAATTAAACAAATCCGAGTAAATCATTATAAATAACACATTTGGAGAATGAAAAAAAAAAACCTGAAAAAAATTAAATTAAATAAGTCCTAGTAAATCTTTTAAACTTGTAATATGTTAAATTATAAACTCGAACTTAACTAAAAAGACTTAGCAGCTGATAAATTTAACGTAAAATAATAAAATTAATTAATTTAATTAAAAAAAATTATTTAAAAGGATAAACCTACAAAATTAAAGAAAAACACTAGAGACAATATATGTTATTTTTAAAATAACTAAAATTTCTTATAAAAAACAAAAAAAATATTAAGAAATGCAACTAAAAAAAAAGTTTAATAAAAAATTAAACAAATCTAAATAAATATTTATAAACTTAAATTAATTTGTTAAACTTGTAATTTATTAAATTTTAGGCTCAATCTCAATGAAAAAAATTCAATCTCAATTAAAAAATTAAATAAAAAAAATTGTAGAAAAATAGAAATAAAAAGAAAGTGCCACCATGTTCTTCAACTAACTTGCCAATAAAGAAAATAGTATCATCACCAGCAAATATGCTCACCTACCGTTAGTTAAGTTGCACTTTGTTTACTGAAGGGACAGGCTCCAAAACATGCATGCAAAAGGCCTAGGAAGAGTAGCGAGCTTGCTTCAAAACCAATTCAATGCATTCGATTTCAGTCACTTGGTTTTTTTGTCAGGTGGCTAGATATATTAAAATAATAATTTTTATTTTTTAAAAATTATTTTTGATATCAAAATGTTAAAATAATCTAAAAATATTAATTTAAAATAAATATAAAAATTAATTATTTTAAAAAAATATTTTTAAAACATAAAAATAAATAATTATCTATCTGCTTACAGCAAGACTGGTGAATGATGGGCTTGACAAGATTGTTGATATTAATATAAACGTGTGAGCTTCCAACTTAGCCCAAAACAACTGGACCAGAGAATTAAACACCTAATGTATAAACCCTTTCCACTTAATTACTAGTGTCTACTGTCAGCAACCACAATTGAAAACAAGGAATTAATGGTGTTATTTGGTCACCAGACCTTATTCTTATGCCATAGCTATCATTTACTCTCTTTTTCTTAATTTCATCCTTCTATCCTTGTTTGTAATAACCCTCACAGAAAAATAATAAATATTGAAAAATATATAAATAAATCATTTAATTTAACCAAATTTACTTTAAAAATGATGGATTTGATCATCCTTAACCCTTAATGGTTATGGATATGAGGGGTGGAGGATAATATTGGGATAAAAAAAAGTATGAGGACTAAAAATGACAAGATTAAGAGTAGGATTAGATGCACCATTAACTTTAAAAAAACTCCATCTAAAGCATCACCTGCAACCTCATTAAGAAAACTGCAAACAAGAGAGAAAATGTCGTGGTGTGCTCTAAAACCCTTCAATGTCTCGTTGATGAACGCCGGCGCAGTGCGCAACCGAACCCCTTTTTCCATCGGTGGCATTGGTTGCGCCTCCGTCATCAATACCGGTCTCTGGCGGCAGTGTTGTTCCTCTCGATTAGCCACTCCTTTCGCTTCCTTGACCACTTACACTTTACCTCGTAACTCTCTCTCTCTCTCTCTCTCTCTCTCTAGTATTATCTTCTTATTTCGAATTCTACATGTGGACTTGATTAGCTAAATGCGTGTAATAGTAAGTTGGATATGAAGTTTGAGACTTTATGAGAAATGATATTTGGGTTTTGGTTAATGTGTGATAGTATGAATAGAGTAAAAAATCTTGGATTTTTCATGGAAATTGATTTGTGGGTTTTTGTTAATATGTGTGTGAATGATCAACATTGTAGAAAAGTATGGGAATTTTGTAATGTTGGGTTTGATGATATTGGTTTGATAGATGTGGAGAGTTGAAAAGTTTTAATATTTTTGATAATTGACTAGTTTTATTGTTTTAAAATGATGTATTGGGTTTAGAAATTTATGAAGGACTTTTTGAGACTTGTTTGTTTAATGTGTGATTGTTTTGCTAGGAAAGAGGGTGATTTGTATGGGGTTCGATTTTGCAGTTATTTTGCTAGAAAGGAGGTTGATTTATTTTGGGATTCGATTTTGTGGCTTTGATGGCTGACGGTGGCAAATGTATGCTTTGATTGTAGCTAAAAAAGAGGCTGTTAAAACTGACAAGGCACCAGCTGCATTGGGGCCCTATTCTCAAGCCATTAAATCCAATAACCTAGTATTTGTTTCTGGTGTCTTAGGTCTCATTCCAGAGGTATGATTGAATGCTCCATTTCCATTTTGAATGACTGTTTGATTTCTTTCATATTTTCCTGTTCTTTTGGTTTTTATGATGTTGGAGTATCAAATATGCTTTTGTTGGGGTCCTTAATTATTCTACCGTTGCATGTTTGTTGAGATCAAACCACGCTACTGCATATGTTTAGTTATTTTTTTCTTAGAATCACTTTCTTGTATACTTGCAATATGATTTTTGATACTCTTATGCAGACTGGGAAATTTGTCTCGGAGAATGTTGAGGATCAGACAGAACAGGTATAAGCAGCCCTTGAGTTAGAATTTCATGTTGTTCACATCTTTTTATTTTTATTTTCTCGGTTGAGTTGGTGTTCAGCTCAAGAGGCTAGCTCCAGTGGTTTTAGCAATTTTATTTCTTAGTCCTTATATGATCAACCTATTTTTATCTGAAGATATGTTGAAATTGTAGCATGTAGTCTTTTCCACTGATATAATGTTTCCTCTTAGATATCAGTGTGAGCTTTGCGTAAATGTTATTGATTGTGCAATTTTTCTCCTCTATTATCTCCTCTATTATTGATTGTGCAATTTCTCTCCTCTATTATCTCCCTCTTCAAGAATGTTTTTCTGGGTTCGATTTAGTTGTATTTGTGCCAAGTTTCTTCTGCCCTATTTTGTTGATTGGTCTTAGTTTGACTGTAATTGTGCATAGCTTCTCAGTTTCAAGCTGATAAGCAGATTAATAACCGACAGATTGACTTTATGAACTTTACAGTTACTTAAGAACATGGGGGAGATACTGAAAGCTAGTGGTAGCGACTATTCCTTGGTAGTAAAGACAACAATAATGTAGGGTTCTCTTTTTGCCTTGCAATATTTTTTTATTTTTTTGAAGATTGGAAAGAGAATTGACTCTGTCCTTGTTTGTACTTTGTTTTTTCTGTAGGTTGGCTGACTTGAAAGACTTCAAGAAAGTGAATGATATCTATGCAAAATGTATGTTATGATCGAATTGTTTTGTGCAGATTATTTGTGCTGGCATGTTATGGAGCATATAGGCTTTCCCCTAATTTGTTTTGCAAATTACCATGTCTATAATACATTGGATCTGCCAGTAACAAGAAAATGAGAACATTGTATATCACTCTGCAAATGTAGAATATGCTTTAGTGAGAAACTTCAATGCCTGGCATGGCAGGTGCTTTCCAAATTCACCCACACTGACTTTTAAGTTTTCTACATGTGGATGATAATGCATGTTATTTTTGAACTCTAGGCAGTACAGACCAGAAATCTGGATCTGTATAATCAATATATGTAGGTAAGACTTCTACATGGATTAAGAATTGTCCCTTACAGTTCTAGCAGGATTGATAAACATTCAATACATCTATTGATGATCAACTTGCCATTAACTTAGCATGTTGACTGAAACTGGAATATGTGAATTCGCTTTTTGGCTAACCTTGATCACTATGCATATTTTCTTCGCTGTTCTGGTAGAGTTTTGGCAAGTCCGAGCTATTCTGTAGCATCAAATTCTTTGCCAATAAGTGCATACTGGATAACATTTAAGCTTCTGAAGGATCAGTTTTTGACATAATAGCATGTATCTGGAAATTTCTTTAAAAAGTATTTTTGTCCCATGATGAGAAAATGAAAATTTGTTATCTGGCATCTCTGACATCATTGCAGTTTGGAACATAAGTTAATAATATGGTTTGTGTTACAGACTTCCCTGCACCATTTCCTGCTCGCTCAACATATCAGGTAGCAGCATTGCCATTGGATGCCAAGATTGAAGTCGAGTGCATTGCTGAACTTCCCCAAAAGGTGGAGCCTCAGCCAGTTTCGCATGCGTGACCTAAGTTAGCAATGTCAAGGAATTCATCTGGCACTTTTCAGAAGTTGTTCAAGTTAATAAAATTGGGAGGGGCCTGCATGCATGACAATGGGGTTCTACTCTGTCTTACTTCCCCTTGGATGTCTTTCCCATCATTAGTAAACAACTGGACATGCTTCAGAACATGGGGCAAGAAGCCCCAGGGTAGTCATGGAACAAAAAAAATGAACAAACATTGAGGAATTTACAGCGTTCTGTAAGTGCCATTATTGGATGAATGTGTAACTTAGTGAAGTTTAAGCCAGAACTTTAAAGCCTTGCATGTTGCAGTCTTTTTATTAACCTCGCGTCTGCCGCATCACCTCTCTCATCGTGCATGAGAAGGCTCGAGTTTAACTTATTCCAGTCCGTTAATCGATTCTTAACCGGTAAGCCGGTTCATCTAATTTACTTTTAGTACTTCTCAAAATTTTCATGTCTTAAACGAATTTTTTTTGTTGAAATTATAAATTAAGCAATAATTTAATTTAATTTTAGCAAAATGATTTTGAAGGAGTTCATTAAAGTTTGCTTTCTTAACTCCCACAAAAAAAGACAAGGAAAAGGTAATGGAAATCTATGGGTACAGCAATATATGGCATTGGTTTCATTTGTTTGGAAACAAATCCATACGTGAACGTGTTCCGGTAAATCGCGTGATTTCAAAGAAATGAAATGTGGAGATTTTGGATATTTGTCTGTCTCGAAGTCAAGCACGCCTCGAATTCTTTCTCAATCTGACGCATCCCAAATCATATGTTCTTCCATGATATTTCATCTAAAACACCATCTTCAAGGATTGCATGGCAGATAAAAGCCATTGCTTCTACTCGATTATCTTAGGAAAAGTTAATCTTTCGATTCAAGTTCATCTTGTCGATCTATATATATATATATATAGATTGCTTCTACTCGATTATCTTAGGAAAAGTTCATCTTTCGATTCAAGTTCATCTTGTCGATATATATATATATAGATGGATACCAAGAATGGAGGAGACCTTTCCCCTGAAGACGTGATGATCGAGATTCTCTCACGGCTGCCTGTGAAAAACTTCACCGAAACTCAACTGTGTTTGCAAACCCTGGTATGGAATTATTACCAGTTCTCATTTCATTTCCAAGCACTTGAACAACTACTACAACAACATCAATAATGGCCGTCTCCTTGCTTACGGTTTTGGATTAGATCCTGTTTTTCTCGATGATTTTGATGTATTGATGTCTAATTTCATTACATATCAGGGACTGATATTTCTTGGGAATTTGCTGGACAGCAGCACATGCAGGTAATGAGTCGAGAGACAGAGAAATGGCCTTTTCTTTTATCATGGCTACCGATGAGCATCAAGAGATACTACAAACACGAGATTATGAGGATCCAAATATTACAACTCATTTGATTCTTGTATCTTCTTCTATTTCGTTTGAAATTAATTTAAAATTCTATATACAACTAATCACACTTGACCAATATGGAACATCCGAAATTACAGTTAAAAGTAATTTCTTTACATCCCACTAGAACACATTTTGAATCAACTCATACATCAATCCTAAATTAGCCAAGTGGATTAAACACAGTTAGAAGTTAATCCACAGAGTGTTTTGTAATTTTTATGTGTGTTTTTGGGTTTTTCCTTTGATTATTGATTTATTTTTCTTTTCAGTTTATTTCTTATATTATGTGTTTATTGTGATTTAAAGTAGATAATTTATTTTAATTTTTATTTTACATGGTTATCATGGTATTAAAAAAAAATCTAAATGTAGGGTTGTTGATGCTCAATTATGCGAAATATTGTTTGGATTCTTAATGTTTCTAAAAGTTTAGAGTAAAGGGACTATATTTGAAAAATGAGAAACCATTGAGACCTAATGCAGAGAATTTAATAAGCCAGCCACCGAGGCAATGAGACAGAGAAAAAGAAAGAAAGCGAAATGGGTTGTCGGCGCCACATTACTGCAATTGTTATGATTCGATTGCAGTTATTTTTTAAATAATTTTTATATTTAAATATATATTAATAATGTTTTTTATTTAAAAAATTATTTTTGATATTAATATATTAAAATAATTTGAAAATATTAAAAATATATTAATTTTAAATTAATAAAAAAATAAATAATTTTTATTTTTTAAAATATTTTTAAAATACAAAAATAAACAATTAATTACATAAAAAATAACATCAATCGGAACATGGAGGAAGGCTCACGCGCCGTCTAAAGGTGATGGGCATTCTTCATGCTATGCTTTGATAAGTATCTTTCATTTATTCTTTC